GCTCTGGGGGGTTTACCTTGAGGATAAATTAGTCCTAAGGTTGCGGACGATGATCTGGTACATCAGTGATGACCAGTAATATTAACACAGATTACAGGTTCAGAGTGTTTAAAGTGGAACATCCAAGCAAGGGTGTTAGGTATGGCAATTGGTGGGGAACCCTCGGGCAGACTCCTTAAATAGATAATATAGAAAAGTTACATGTGTAGCCAATTGTACACTCTCCTGTAGTGGTTCATTGAACCACAATACTGACAAGTAATTAATAAAAGTCAAAAGACTAAAGAGGTCACCTTAATACTAAAAAAAAAAAATATTTTTTTTTATTATTGATATTCTTAACTAAGGCTTGATGCTCTATTCTGGTGAATAACTTGTTGTTATTATAGATGATGATTATAAATCTCTAAATCTTTTTAGCCATGCTTGTTTAAAATATCTTAATTATCTGAGTATTGGGCTTGTAATTATAAATGACTATCATGTTAATTGTTTCTTTAAGAGTTTTCCTAATACTGTTTGGGTTTTTTTGAATTAGTAAGACCATAGTATTTATAATCTTGTTTATATATATTATTTTATTAAGAAAGTAATTCTCTTGCTGAGTATCTTGGAGGTTGGTTTGGTAAGTTAAATAGAAAGAATCTTTGTTTCTCTTTGTTTTTCTTTGTTTGCATTATTATATAATTTGGATCTTGCATTTTTCTTCTTAACCAGATTTTTGAGCTTATCTCTAAACATCTTATCTCTTGCAGTTGTATAAGCTAATAATATAATTTTAGGGGTAAGATCTCTTCATAGATTATTTGTATATGATAAGACATCTTATAACAATTCCTTAATATTTTGATTTGATTTTGTAAAAGCTCATATCCTATTCTTGCTTCATGATTATTTTTATTTGATTTAAATTTTAACAAGACCTTTTCAATATTGTCAATAGGATATAGAATTGTAAATGTTTTGTAAAAAATGTTTCAGATAATTTTATCAAATTCTTTTTGTTGTCTAGACATTGCTTATAGAAAATATTATTTTATTTGTAATGATTTGTAATCAACTTTTGTATTTTGGAGTTCTTTACATAATATTTTCTAATAATTTGTTTTTGAATATATACAATCTGAATAAATTTCTGTAGACAAGTTCTTGAAATCTCTTATAGAAAATCATAACTTTGGTTCATCAGAATCAAAAACCTTATTCAATTCTTGTTCTTCAGTTTGGATATTGTTGTTTAAGGTAAGTTGTTCATTAGACATAAGTTTTTTATTAAACATTAATAAGAATAAAGTGTTTCTTAAGTGTAAATAATTTCTATAATGAATGTCTTATTAAGAGCAGACTGCACTAAAATAAAACAATCTAAAAGATATTTGCTTGTATTATAAAGGTATATATATATAAACTAATTAATTAAACTTCATATATAATATAAGTAGATTAGAATTTTCTTTGTATTACAATTTGGAACACTAATAATAAAATAGACTAAAGCATATAATCTTATTATATACTATAAAAAAATTTTTTTTTTAACTTTACTTAGTTTAACATTAGTATGTTTTAAGGGTAAAGTACAACATTGATCATTTTTATATATAATTAGTTGCAAATTTTTATTATTTTTTTTTATATTTGATTTTTTGAAAAAATAGATTAAATAAATAAATTTTAATCCTTATATAAAAGTTATAGAGTAGGTCTTTTTGATTCTAATGATAAAATTATTAAAATTAGATAAAAACTTATCAAGATATAAGTTTTTAAATATTAGGTTATAAAACTATATAATAAAATTAACTTATAGATTTACATAAATTAGTTAATCAAGGATGGTGATCCTAGTATAGTAGTTGGGTTGTTATTTTCTAAGTGACAGGTCTAAGATTCAAATTCTAGCTATAATGAAATTTGAAAATTATATCTGTATTACAGTAGCTGTCTCCTGTTGATCAGTTGATCTCATATGATTGTAACTCAGATACACCAAGTCAGGTTCTACTGACATTGGGCATTTATGTGAAGTATAATGTTACATATATATAAAGGAATGTCTAACTAGTATTGTATAAGACTTCGATGCAAACCCATGATAAAAGCATCAAGCATAGAAGACTAAGGAACCAAGATGACAGAAACTCACTTGGAAATTTTTAAGTAAAGAGATAGCAAGAATTTTTAATAGTATTATCAAACTAGTTGAAGTTTTTAAAACACTTTCATAGGAACTGAAAGTTAAAACTGATCATCAAATATGTATAGAGAAGCATATAACCAATCAGGCCACCAGATTTGTTAGAGAAAAAGGATACAGAGTATATCATATCAGGCTATCTGAATTGGTAGTTTGGAATGATACTGATGGCTCTGAGTTGCAACTAGTAAGAGATATTAAAGAAGATGCTAGAAAAATAGGTATTAAGGTTCTAGTAAACTTTATAAAGGTAAAAATAGTGTAATGTAGTAGTTAAACAGATAATTCTTATGACTGCAAGTGTTAGATAACTATAACATGTTATATAAAACTAAGTTTATATATGTAGAACATAAAGACTCTAATAAGTTTTTTGTCAAAAATAAATTAGTCCTAAGAGTAACAACAAGCATCAGGAACTTGGATAGGTGTAATTTTGAAATATTTTTATGATACAAGAAGGATTGCATATGCAGAGAGTTTAAAATAGACAAGGTCCTTAGTTAGCTTATAGATATGACAACTAGTGTAGAACTTATATAGCAATATGTAAGTGAACTATTTAAATTAAGTATCAAAAATGTATATGTGACTAGTTGTAACATCCAATGTAAGATAAGCCCTTGATGGCATGCCATGTCCTAATATACTTGAATAAAAATGTTGCATCCTCAAGATAAGAACTTTAAAAAATAAAAAATAAAAAAAATAAATTAGTCAATCAAATTATTCAATTTTGTACTATTTAAACAAATTTTAATTGATCTAGGCAAACTTTATCATATATACAAGTATATTTTTTTAAAATAATATAATAGTTCAAAATTTTACTATAATAGATAAATAATTTTATTTATAATATTATAAAATTTTTTTATTAATTATTTAAAAATAAAAAAGTTTTATTAGTATATAATATATTTTGTAGTTATTATATAAAATTTTTTTGCAACTATTTATATATAGAAATGATCTACGTTGTACTCTACCCTTAAATTTCTAATCTAAAACAGATTAATTAAAAAGTTTAGAACTAAAACTCGAATGTGATCTTCACATGATATTTTTTGGAACTTGTGTGTGACTTTCACATGATCTTTTTGGAACTTTTTCGAACTGCTTCTGAACTTAAACTTTTATGAAACGCGACGACAAGTAGATTATTTATAGTTTTTAAATTCGGATTTAAATCAGAATTGCCAACGCCAGGCTTAAATAGCACCACCGTGTATGTGTACATAGTGCATATATTTATTTGACTACACACTCGATGAATAAAACATTCAATCTAAAAAATAACGGATTCATATCACGATCAACGTAGAGGTGTATGTACCTTGCGCGAGGTAAAATTGGCATACATTCCATAAATTATGACTTCGCGCGAAGTGATCTCATCCAAGACCAAATTTTGAGTTTAGCGGATTATCTGATAAATTACCAACCGTCAGGAATTTCTTTAATTAAAAAACTTACATCGTGATGACATCGTCTTTTGAGAGGTGTTGTGCCTACATAAATTGACATTAATAAATACATTATTCAAATTTTCGATCTTTAGAATATAATTTATTAAATAGTTATATGCAATGTACTTAAATATGAATAATTATTTTTATAATACTTTTTTTTAACTATGCTAAATATTACTCTTACAAAATGAATGGGTTACTATTGATAAATATTCAAGTCAAAAAACATGGCCAAAGCTTAATTTAATTACATGTGGTTAACCATTAGAAAAATTTTAGGGAAAAACTTTAGGGTGTATCAATCCTAACTTTAAATCCTAAGTATATGGCCAGATCCATTCTGTTCCGGTTTACAACCTCATCGATCAATAAAAATCTGACCACATAAAGTGAATATTAACCTTAAAAAGTTCTTGGACAAATTTGAAATATCTCATATTCATCAATCATAAAGGGTTCAGTGCTGTTTCTAATAGGTTTTTCATAATTAACTTGTCTGCAACTGGTTCCTTTGTGCCTCTTGAAATTATTGGTCATCTTAAGGTCAAAATCTCCAAAGTTAGGACCCCATTTGGAACTATTAAAAACATGAAAATAGTCAGTGATTTTAAAACACTTACTATGATAAATTTTTATGTGAGATAGGCTTACCTATAAAAGAATGCATATCCTGCATTTTGAACTCTACTTAATACGTAAGTATCATTAATTTTTTTACCACCCGAATTTCCTAAATTTTCTGGTGTTAAATTAAAAATAAAACTATCTTTTGTTCTAGACCAACTGTCTTTCCTGGTCATTTTATCCGGTTTGTCTTGAGCGTTATTATTCCATTTTAGAGGATTGTATCCACCAAGAATCTCTCCTGTTAAGCATGATATAAAAATCATTAACGGGTGCAATTTTTTTTTCTTTAGACAACAACAATAACAATAATCACATTTAAATTCCAATTAAATAATTTACCAGTTCCCGCGACTTTTAGAACTAAAACTGTACGAGATACGGTATCACATATGTCGTGGAAAGTCTTACTTTTGAATCCATGATCATTACCTCGGAGTAATAATTTAAAATCATACGGAATATTTGAAACGTCATATGTTGAGAATTTACGGTCGATCCATGTGGCAATTTGTACTACATGTTCAATGCTTATAATATTTGAAAAGGATGATGAATGTGACTGAGAATGTGGACCGGTGATATTGGAATGTATGTTATGCTGGGTCTGAGAAAGAAAAGATACGTAATTATTAATTTGTTCGTCAACATCCGTAAATCGCTGCATTATATTCATCCAGACTGCCGGTTCGAGGATTTGTTGAAATGGTCGAATTTTATTAAAAATTTCTTCATTAGTAAACCGCTGAAATCGAATATATGGCAATAAATTATGTAAAGCTACTTTCAGACGATGAAAATCAACTTCGGTCCATTGATCTGTATTACTTGGTAGTTTTGGTAGATTTTGTGCAATTCCCCAATTAATTATGCAATCCCATTTTTTGGATTCATCTACTTTTAAATCACTACTATTAACAACAGAAATTACAATATCCTCAGGAAGTGATGCAAAATCAGAGGTATCAAACACGGCATCTGGACGTTCTGCAATGACCTTTGCACAGAACTGGCGTAAAGTGTGAAAATTTTCCGATTTGAAACTTGACTGATAAACAAGGGCAAAATTAGACCATAACCATTTTGGATTCATTTCACATAAATAGCTTTCAAGGTATTTTGCTAATTCAACAAGAGACCACTCATCAGCAATGATCATTACACCAAAAACAATAGATGTGTCGATTTGATCAAAAGTAATAATCCCCCCATACATATATCTATGTAATAATGAAATTTAGTCATTTTCGGCATGTGGAAACATGTATTGGTATGCTTTGATTTATAAAGCTTACCTTAAAATAATTTCAACTATATTGGCAGGGATGTTTTTTTTATAAATTTCCATAAATTTTTTTTTGCCTAAGGATAAATCTTCTAATTCTTTATAAAAATACGATGACCTAAATCGCAATATTGCTGAATGAACTTTAAACGAACGGCCGTCAAGTCCTTCTCCACCATGAATAATTGTGTCATAACCATCTCCACATTCAAGAAGTCTTGTAATATCTTGAGACAATCCGTCAAAGAATTTCACCGCCATTTTTTTCACTAAAAATCTCAGAATTTACAAACGTGGTTTAAATTACAGGGTTGTGACTCCATTTCATAGTACAAATGTGGTACAAAAATAAATCTCGTTGATCGGTCGGTCATTACATGCATGACAGGTTTTTACCGGTGTTTATCGGTTTCAATTTGTACACGGGGTGTTCATGCATGTTTCAGATCAGTCGTAACATAGAAATTAGGCTCGTGGAATTTTGCAGAACTAACCCTAATTTGTTACGAACCTCCTAGCTCTTTTAATATTAGTGATTCTATCCAGTTAACAATGAACGTACGTATGCGCTGATTAAAGTCAAATTTCTATTTAGAATTATAGTTAACTATATAAATAAGACGAGACAATGAAAATATAAGTGGTGTCGCAGGTGAAAACTAAGTCTAAATATATAATTAATATATATTGTATATATCTTTTATAATAATCTATTTTTAGGGTTACTGGTTTTTACTTTACTCAAATATTTATTGTCTTCAGAACTAGTTTTAGTAATAATGAAACAACTGTATAGTTAGCAAATAGCGTTAAAAACTTGATACATACATGTTTTGCAGAAGAAAATTTCACTAATTAACTATTTTTCGGATTGACACAAAATTTCATAAGCCATTCCTCCATTGTAAGAATATTGTGAACTTGTTCAACATATCAAGTGCCTGCATGTAAATTTTACTGCAACAAGGAGTTTTGTGTTCAGATAGAATGATCTAATTATATTCTGATTAGATTCTTCTGCGATCTTTATTTTCCTTCTATCTCATTATGACAATTGTATCAACTTAGTTCAAGAACAACAATGGTAATGAACTTGAATAATTCCAGTTGGTTGACTAGTCTGACAAAAATAATCAATGCAAATTACACCCATATTTGCACGTCGGTGCTCTGCCACATAACTCTCACAGGGAATTCCAGCGGTTCTTTACAATTGCCAGAGTTTGAGTTTGAAGTTATTGGATTTCAGGATATAGATAGTTGGCTAAATCCGATTTTAGAGATGATACATCTAGTGATTTGAGTGCAATACCGTAATTAGTCGTATTTGGTTTTGCAAAAACCCATTTATATCGTGACCCAGCAATTAAAATTGGATAATTTTGATACCATTCGATTCGTCTCGATGAGAAGAATTGAATGGTATCAAAATAATCCAATTCGGATCACTGGGTCACACGAAATTTGTGAAAAATGATTTAATGAATTGCGACAAATTACATTGGATCGTTTTTTTTGCGAATATCTTGTGATTTGGTGATCCGAATCGGATGATACAAAAATAAATCAATTCCGGTCATGGCTTGAAGGAAGGTTAGACGTTAATGTGTAATTCTTACGTTATTTTCTCCTTTTTCCTATCTGAGCAATTTCGAAAAAAGATCAGCAAAGTACAATACAAAGAGTTATCTGCATATACTTAACACAATACTGAATATCGATATACATACGTAGTGCGTTAAATACCCCCAACTAAAAAAAGCATAAGTTTTAGATAACTTTTGTAGTTTTGGATTTCAAGGTCTTTTTTTGAATTTAAAGTTTTTTTTTGACTTGTCGATAGATATTAAGTCGAATATTAGTTTAATTCAATAAATTTTAGGAATAATATATTCTTGGAGACTTTGACTATTAGCACTTCAGAATACCTGACCTTTTCTTATGTTCTGGCTATATTATAAGATTCAAAAATTATTAAATTTTTTCTGTTATCATTAATTTATTTTTACAGAATTCAATATAGGAAAGATGGAAGATTATAATCAATTTGATATGGGTTTGGGTTAATATCCCAAAGATCAAAATCCCAAAGGTACTAAATCTCAATACACTAAATCCTAAAAGAACAAAATCCCAAAAGTACAATATCCTAAAAATTAAATCCTAAAAAAAAAAAATCCCAAAAAATTATAATCTAAAAAATTACAATCCCAAAAGATTAAAATCCCAAAAGATCATAATTTAAAAAAACATAATCCTAAAAACATAATCCTAAAAATATAATTTCAAAAGTTCATAATCCCAAAAAATATAATCCTAAAAAACCCCATCTTTTTGACTTTAATTTCAATTATCAATTACTGTTTTTTAATAACAAATAAATAAATGTCTTATTTACTTATTCGCATCTTTTTCAACTCCAATTTCAGTTACAAATCACAGATTTTTAATAATAAATAAATACTAATTCCAATTACCAATTACTGATTCTTGATAATAAATGAATGCCAATTCTAATTACCAATTGCCGATTCTTGATAATAAACGAATGTCAATTCTAATTACCAATTGCTAATTTTTAATAATAAACAAATGCTAATTTTTGATAATAAATGAATACCAATTCTATACACCATTTTTTGATAATAAATGAATGCCTTCAGCTCCAATTCCAGTTATCAATTGTAATTTATATTGATTAAAATGTGATTATTGGCTAATAAATCTTAAAATTTACAAGTAAACTTTTATTATTTTTAGCAAAACTTTACATTTAATTTTAAATTTAAAACATAATTCTATTTTATTTTTAGTTGTTACAAACTCTATCAGAGATGCGATATAGTTCTTAATTTATATAATCAATGGCACAATATAACTTATGTACACTGTATTGATCTGCTACCAAAGTAACTCAAACATGATTACAACTGCTTACCCAACATTTTAGCTCTATAATATCAATTAATACGCAAGATATATAGTAAGTATTAAGCATATAATATTATTAAAATAACATATGAACAAGATTTCTATGCTGTTTTTTAAGATTAAAACTTATACGTAAACATCTTAATAAGTCTTTTTAATTGACTATTTTTGGCATTTAAACCTTATATATAGGTAGTATAGTAATAAATAGCTTCTAAGTGAAGTTCTAAGAATGTTGATTATTTTGTACAATAAATATAAGCATTCTTTCGAAGCTGGAAATGACCTTTATAGTAATTTTTATTAGTAAAACATTACATTCTTAAAAAGTACTTTAAACTATATAAATAAGTTATCTGGCAATTGATTTCATTAGCTGATCATAAGAATGTCAGTCTATGATCCTATCATTGCTGATTTAATAATAAAATAAATGTCTTATTATCAATCCCAATTTTGTTTTTTAATACACCAATGTTTCATTAGCATCTATCTCTGCATATTTTTGATAATCTATAAATGCTTATATCAAACCAATTTAACTCCATTTTCACTTTGGTAACAATATCTAACATTAAAGACTGTACCCAGGTAGACATTTTTATTATATAGCTATAATAAATTAACTGAATAACCAAATAATTTAAAAAATACCTGAATAGAGATTTTCTTGATGAATACAATCTCTATCCAACATTATATGTTTTACTAAAATTTTCTATCTTTGAAAATTTTTGATAATTCATAATTGCCTTATGGTTGTCCTTTTCTGCTCTATTCTTTTTCAACTCCAATTAACAGTAGGAATCATTGATATTACATGACTGATCCTTCACCTAATGTACAAAATATAAAAAGAATATCAGATCATTCTGTTAGTACATGTTATGATTATAATCCCATACTATTTTTATTATAATAAAATGGTGTAGAATTATAATCATAACATGTACTAGTAAAATAATCTAATATTGTAAAATAATTTTTTTATATATTGCATACTGGGTGAAGGATCAGTCATGTAACATCAATGGTTCCTACTGTTACTCTAATTCTCTTTTATTGTTATGTCCAACATTACATATTGCTTTAATATCTCCAATCACTGCAGATTTAATAATTCATGAATGTCTTATATTCATTTTTTTTAACTCCAATTCCATTTTAATAAAGATATTCAATATTAGATGTCATCTCCAATTTCTGCAGGTTCTTGATAATCTATTATGTTCATCCTTTTCAACTTCAATTCCACTTTGATAAAAATATTCAACATTATATATTCTATCAGCATCTCTACCCTTGCAGATTCTCAATAATCCATGAATGCCTTAAATTCTCTTTTCAACACCAGTTTTTCCTTTATAATGATTCAGATATCTATTTTACCAGTATTCTATATAATAAATTAATGCTTTAAGTTTCTATTTCAATAACTGGTAAGATATCTAACAATGCAATTAATGATAATAATTCAAACTAAAACAAATCTAGAAATATAATTTTATTAGATAAGTTTGCTGGTTTAAGAGTTGTTATTATTGTTGAAATATAAAAAACTCAAGAATTTATTATCTGCATTATAATGATTAAATAAAATTGAATCAAAAATATTTTATTTGTTCTTGATTCAATTCAAATGGATATACACATGATGCCATGTAAATTACATGTCATCATGTAATTTACTCATGATAAGTAAATTAAAAATTATAAAAAACAATTTGGATTATTAAATTAATTAAGCTTAAATTATAATTGATTTTTGTGTGATTAATACTAGATGAGTTTTTATTTTCTACTCCATTTATATTAAAAACTTTACAAATTAAAATTTCTTCATTTATTAAACTAAAAAAATGTTTTAATTACCTAACTTTTATATTATTTATTTGCTAACAAGTTATAATATATAAATAAAATTTAAGAGGTAAAGGGTATAAAAATAACAAATTTAATAGTTAAAAATTACTGGAAGTTAATATGGTTTTTTTATAGGTTGAAATGCAGCTAGCTTACAATCAAAAGTTTTTTTATATCAAGTAAACCTTCCTTGAGCTTCTAACAAAGATTATAGAACAAGTAATTCTGGTTCTAATAGTGGTAGTATTATCCAAATTGGTTTGGTAGATCACGAGTTATTGGCATTTTCTTCTTTATAACTACATAATATCAAAAACTTTTAGCATTCCAAAATTATATGAAAGTAATAGTAATTCTCTGCTGATTTTTACTATGAAACTTATACTCTTCAACTGTGATTTACCACTTAATATATTTATCTCTTTGTAAAAAAAAAAAAAAATCAATAACTTCGAAGTTTATTTCAACTTTAATTTTATTCTTACCTTTATTATTGCTACAATATGAACAAACTTGTCAACTTGTCACATCGCAAAAGGGACATTCGAAATTAATGATTGATGGATACTTGTTTGTAAAAGATTATGTGTATAAAAATACTTATTACTAGTCATGTGAGAAAAGAAAGTCAGAGCCAGAGTACTGCAAGACTCGAGCAATTACTATTCTTTTAAATGGATTACATTATCTAAAAAAAATTGATAAACATGAACATGCTCCTCAAACCAGCAGTAGTGAAATTGCTCAAGTTGTTGCTCATATCAAACAACAAGCTCGGGATATACAAGATGCACTCTCTAAAATAATTCAAAATAATATCACCATTATTCCAAAAAATCTTTCTTCTTATATGCCTATACAAGAGGCTCTCTGAATGAGAATTAAGCATGTTAGAATGGCTGAAATGCCACTACAACTCCAGACTCTTGATGAGGTTGATGTTCTGAACTCATTATGTTTAATCTTAAATGGTAACCTATTTTTAATAGAAGATTTAGAACTTAATGATGATAATAGAATTCTTGTTTTCACTACAAAAACTAATATGCAACATTTATCTTAAGCACCTTATTGGGTTATAGATAGTATCTTTAAAACAGTTCCTACTGTTTTCCAGTAAATTTATATCATCCATGCACCTGTTGGTGTAAATGATAATTTTCAAATTCTACCTTTTATATATGCCCTAATGAGTCATAAATCAGAAACACTTTATACTCAATTATTTCAAATTTTATGTAACTTTGCAGAAGATAATAATCTTCAGCTCAATTTGACAACAATTATTACTGATTTTGAACAAGCAGCAATCCATGCATCATCTAATACATTCCCAGGTTAGTTATCTGTTTAGTAAATATGTATCTATATACGTATTTAATTTTTAAACACTAATAACAATAAATAAATAAATAGCTAACAAATTAAATTCATCTAGGTGTTACAAATAAATGTTGTTTTTTCCATTTTATAAAAAGTTTGTGATGAAAAATACAAAAATTTGGATTAGCAAGTCAATATAGAACTGATATAGATTTAAGTTTTATGTTACAGTGTTTACTTGCTTTGGCTTTTCTTCGACCTGATGAAATTCTTGATGCATTTAAGATTCTAAAAGCAGAAACGCCACCAGCCAGTGTTGTACATTTTGGCTGTCCAACCATTTTTTGAAAATGTCCAAGATCTGAAATATTAATTTTAGCCATAATTATTTAAAATATTTTTATAAAATATTGATAATTATATATTCCGTCTAATGTTCTACAATTTTAATTAGAAGACTAAAACAAGTTATCATAATAAAATTTTGAGTAAATTAAGTTTATTTTTTGCCCAAATGTCCAAGATTGTCTAAGTACTATGTCCAAGATTGTCCACATGACAACACTGCCACCAGCTGCAGCTGATATTACACAATGGTTGGTAATATATATGTACATGGAAATATTCAATGGTTATTAACTAATAGCAATGAATTATGTAATCCACCTCTTTTCCTACCAGAGTTATAGTCTGTTTATAGCTCTGTTGAAACTAGAGTTTCACATATACAAAATAAAATTGAGGCATGACATCATTATTAGAATATCTTAGTTGGTCGTACTTATGTAGATGTCTATTCAATTATTAAAGAATTCCAAAAGGAACAACAAAATGTTGATTGTCAGATAGAAAGAATTCTTAATGAAGAACCAAAACCCAAATCTAAAAAAAATACATTTGAACGAGAAAAACAGATCATGAGTGTTTTAAATGATCGGTTTAATCATACAACTATAGATTTTTTAAAAGGGATTGCATATAATCTTTCTTTTTAATCATCTTTTAATAGCAATATAAAATTAAATAACTATGTAGCATCAATCAAATTGTGATATATATAAATATTGTAACAAATAATTTTTTATGTACATGCAATATAACAAATTATGCTATTAAAAAAATATTTGCAGTATTATGTTATATTATTATCCTCTCTTATATAAAAAATATTATATTAAATAGTGAATCAATTTGAAGCAGTCTTAAGGTAGCATAGGGATGGCAAATTTTTTAAAATGTGATTTTAAAAAACATGTTTGTTTGATTGAAAATTGTTTTAATACATTATAACAAAATATGATCTGAATATATTACATAGTATTTGAATTATAAAATTTTAATTCTGGGTTTGCAAGTTTTAGAGTTAGAATCCAGATATATTTTAATTATCCAGATATAAATTAAATCAAAAAATATATCTATTTTAAATCCAGATATAAATATTGTGAAAGGAAAAACGTGACCTAGCTGTAGGCATGCAGGATCTATAGACAGTTCTTACAGACAGTATGGACAGTTAAATTCATGTAATATTGCTAAAACCACTAAACCTTAACTGTTCCTAACAACTATTCACATGATTTAAACTGTCTCTAAGAACTGTCTGTAGCTTGTCTGCTGTAGACATGTAGGAAACGTGACCTAGCTGTAGGCATGTGGGAAATGTAATTATGACCTAAATTAAGATCCCAAGCCAAAGCTAAGCTGCATGTGAAAGTAGTATTTAATAAATTGCTATATTGGGTTTAGCTTGAAGTGAAGCTTATTAAGATTAATTGAATAATGGCTTTATGTCATAGACATGTAAATAAATTATTGTAGCTTGTAGATTTCCCCCTCTAATACTTAATTTAGTTAAGCTGTGTCAAAGCCTCTACTGTATTTTTCTTGTATAAAGTCCTGTAATTTTTATTAATAAAAAGACAGTTAAGTAGAGATAAGATATCGATTATTTGTTAGTAATAAAGACACACCTTAAAACTAGGATCTTAGTGGCAGTAGAATCCTTGGTTCTTGGACCAAATCTTTCATGTCTTTTTTTTGAGTTGTCTTGGTCTTTGCATTACATTTATTACATTTTAACTATGAGAGACCCAGTAGCTCCAAATTCACCTCTTATAATATATATATCTGATAAAATGTAAATAAGATTAATTAGATCATAGTATATTTAATAAGTGAAAAATATTAGGAATTAACTGTCTTTTCTGTGAATTCAACTTTCATTCTGGTTATATTGATTCCTTCTACCTTACTTGCATTAGAGCAATGCATAACTTGTATAGTCTGTCAGAACAGCAGTCATAAATAAGAAAGCCATAATATAAAAAAAAAATGAATGAAAAATGAGAAAGAAAAAGTATGTTGCAAACAACTTTATAGACTACTCGATTGCAAAAAAGAAATACTCATATGTTTCTTCAATCAAATATTTGATCTCAAATCAAGTTCAAATCGAACTAAATTGATTTGATCAAATTCAAATTAGATAATTATTTGATTTGAATTTGATTATTAATATTTGATTTGATCAATTTGAATTATTTAATGGTAACTTTGAATCTGAATAGTTAAGTATTTTTTTTTTACAGCTATTTTGTAATTCCTGTAACTTATATAATGATTATTTTACAGATCGTTAAACATTAATATCAAAAAATTAAGTATATTTTACATTGTTCATGCTTAGTAAACATAGGTTTTTAGAAATAACAGAAATTTTTGATAGGTTTATATCTTAAAAACACAATTTATAGATCTTCAAAAAAATAATTGATATTTGTATAATTCACAGTTTTTAAAAATTTAGGATTTATGCAAAATATAAGATTTTTACAAAGTTTTAGATAAACCACTATTAAAGTACTGTTGGTGTTTTTATAATAAATCTATGTAAAATCTTTATACTACTGTTAAAGTATTGTTGAAGTACTGCTAAAGTACTGTTGAAGTACTGTTGAAGTACTGTTAAAGTACTATTAAAGTTTTGTTAGTTTTTTTATAATAAATCTACTAAGTACTGTTGAATGTTAAAGTACTGTTGGTTTTTTTATAATAAATCTATGTAAAATTGCTATGCTACTGTTGAAGTACTGTTAATAAATTTATGTAAAATCACTATGCTACTGTTGAAGTACTGTTGAAGTATTGTTAAAGCACTGTTAAAGTACTGTTAAAGTACTGTTAAAGTATGTTGAATAAGCATTTGAATGAAAGATTAATAGTGTTGACATTATTGTTACAATGATTTGTAAAACAGTTATAATACAAAATAGTTTTTATTAGACCAATTTTTATCAGGTGTTCTGGTTAGTGGTTGCAGAAAAATAAACTACCCCAATCAACTTTTTAGATTAGCACATAATCGACAACATACATATGCATCCTACTAGATAAATTAAAAACTTCTAGCAATTTAGTAAATTTTTATTTTATTTTATTTTAATTCTATACTTTTATAAAATTAAAATAAAATTATTAAATTTGGTTTAATAGTTATTGAAAAACCTTTACTAGAAGGTTAAAAAAAAACTTGTAATATTTTTAAAATAGAAACAATTTACCTGATATTTTCAAATTTCAATAATAATTTCTCACTAACCATTTATTCAAACTTAATAATTTTTATTTTTATTTTAATTCTACAAATATGTAATATATGTAGGATTAAAAAAAAAATTATTAAAATTAAATAGGTAGCTGTTGAGAAATATTAATTAAAAGTCAAAAATAATTAGCCATAGTGTATTTTTTTTACAAATGCTTAAACTTTGAATGAGGATTACTTGACACTTACTTGATCAAATTCGATAAAATTTTTTATTTTAATTCTATACTACTATAGAATTAAAATAAAAAAATCTTGATCGAATTTGGTCAGAGAAATGTTAAATAAACTTTGTTCAAAGTTCAGGCACCTATAAAATGATGCTACTGCAGATAATTTTTTTTAACTTTTAATCAATATTTCTTAACAGCTACCTATTTAATTTTAATAATTTTTTTTTAATCCTACATATTTTACATATTTGTAGAATTAAAATAAAAATAAAAATTATTAAGTTTGAATAAATGGTTAGTAAGAAATTATTATTGAAATTTGAAAACAGGATAAATTTTTTTTCTATTTTTAAAGATATTATAAGTTACTTTTTAACCTTCTAGTGAAGGTTTCTCAATAACTATCAACCTAATTTAATAATTTTTTTATTTTAATTTTATGAAAATATAGAATTAAAATAAAAAATTTTTTACTAGATTTGCTTATGCAGTTATTGAAAAACCTTTGCTAGAAATTAGTTAGAAAAGTGTCGCAGTCTCATGATTATTGACTACTTATGATCAGATAATTCAAATTATGCATTATGTTTAAGATACTGTTACTATTGTTTGGAAGAGCTGCAGTGTATTTGATGTCCAATTTAACTCCAATAGTAAACTATAGTTGTTAGTAGTAGGATAATATAGGACTAGCAATAGGGTGGCTTGTTCATATAGATTGGTATTTTATTAGAGTCAGTTAACTGATTTATGCAGAATAAGATAATTAATCAATTTAAGTGATAATCACTCTTATTATTATATAATAAATTTAATATATTAGATCAATTTAGTGATGTAACTGATGCAATTAATAAAGAGGTATTTAATTAATAGTTTAAGTATAGTAATAATGAATTATGATAATATTTCAAAGAATAAAAGAAATTTAATGAATTTTTTAATATTATGGTTATTAAGCAGTTTTTTTTTATTAAGTAAATAAATAAATTATAACAACAAAATCATTCAATGCTTGAGAAATTAATTTTATTATTTAACCAAGTAAGACATCGAAGACTGTAGGCTTTATTTAAAGGCTCGAAGCCCTAATTTTATACTTTACAAACCATTAAGAAGTATGATAATCAAACATATGATCTTTAAAACTAGTAGTTTTACTCACTAATACTATTACTACTTAGTTTTAGTGATTCATGGTTTCGTTACTAAAGACTATTACAGGATTTTGGTACGATGATACTAATTCAGCTACAATCTTCGATTACAAAAAAGAAAATTATATTTACAAAATACAGGGCTTGTACTAATTCTATGTTTCACACAGCCTGGCACCTTCCTCATGTTACTATTATAATAATACCAAATACTGTAGTTTTTTATATATGTAATAATTTAATTAATGTGTAATTTGAATTATTAGGTTGTAATCACATTTTTCTGCTATCACTAAACTATCTTGTTTCTTTTTTGTAATGATTTGGCAGTCATGTGAGTTGCCTTGATCGTAATAATATAAGTTTTTCTTTAATATATGAGTGTAATCAAAGAAGAACCTGCCATCGGGCCTTCAATTATATTTTGTAACAGACATAATTTAAAATTTTGTTTGACATAAATATAATGACAGGTTTTTTCTTGACAATACTCATGTAAAAAGAAATTATGTAATAAAAGTTAGGTAGCATAATTATTTGTTATATATTCATTTAAGAAATTGATATAAAGTTGAATATTAATATAAATTCTTTTTATTTTGTTCTGCTTATCAAATTATTTCAAAAAAATAGTTGAATAGACTGACAAACAAATTCAAATGTTAATCAATAAAAGAAGATCAAGAAATATTAAGTACTACAATATAACTTCTCGAAGTCGCATAGATTTTTAAAAGAGCATTGCGAATAATATAAATAAACAATATAATACAAAATTTAACAGATATTAGTGTAAAGACAAATTCATAAACCTTGTGAGTGACTATAATGTAAATATATAAATCAGTTTTTTTCTATATTATTACTATAATATATATTCTTTTTTTATCTTTTTTTTTGTTAGACTGTATGCAATTATATGTCAAAAAACCATGATAGAAAAAGAAGTAGAGCTGGTGAGTGCTATTTTGATAAGTTTCATACTAAATTTTGGGAAAGACCTAGTAAGTTTCTAAAATCTAAAGTTATATACGTATAATTTAATTATATTTCTAAACTCAATGATTATTTTTTTAGTTACACAATTTGATAAAATTAGGAACACAAATTTAGAAATTCAAAAAAGATGTGAGAGTCATATAAATTATACTCTACCTCCTTCATATGAAGAAGTAACTGCTATGCTAAGCCATTCTAATAGGGGAAGAGAATGATCCTCAGTACCTAATACTAATAGCAATACTAATAGAGAAAGGGAATGATCTTTGGTATCTAATGTTAATAGAAATAGATCTGTCACTATGTAATGCATGTGGAATGCATTAATGTATTAATGTAAACAAAATATGCTGCTTATTTGCATAAAAATAAATTCGTTTACTTTTATATAATATAATAACATGCTCTTTGTAATGATGTATAAATAAATTTGAGATGTATTATAATTGCTTGATGTTAAAATCTAGTAGACCTGAAGTAAAAGGGTGACATCCATAGGATGTTTGACCGACTAATTATGACAAAGATATGTAAAGACCCCTAATTAAACTAATTATAACAGTTTTTTATATGATTGTATTATTACATAAACAGATACCACTTTTTAATATAAATTTATTATATGAACGTCAAATTTAACTTCTCTTTTATTATTAGTTATTCGAATATAAAAGTAATAAAAAATAGATTAAAAAGATATGCTTTTAAATTTGTCATGTAGGTTTTTTGGAGAACTTAAAATTGATTTTTTTTCTAATATTTTTTAGCAATTTATATAACTTAAAAGAATAAATTTGTAAATAACTTGCGTTATATCTTTAATATTGAAATTTTGACATAAGAGTTCAATGTATTGGTTATAACACATTGATTAATATATTTACCTTTTACAATCAATTAATAAATTAACAACTAGATAGCTAAATTAACCGGTTTAAAGTTAGGGTTACTTTTTTGATGCAGTTAGTGTTATGATTTATATATAAATATCAATAATACAATTTATGTAGTATGTAAATCAATAACATATCAATTTTATAGAGGACTATACATATGTTTGATTTAGTATATTAACCAAACACCCTAGTGGCATCCATAATACCAGTATTGTATTGTGTTAAGAACCTTTATGATAATATTATATGGTATTAAGATTTCTATAACTGTACTGTATTGTATAAATAAATTTGAAGGGTGTACTATAATAATTACTTAATATAGTAAAGTAGAAACTACTTTATTAGTTTAGTCATCAATACTGCTAACTAGAAATATAAATTACTAAACTAAAATAGTACTTTCTATGTAATTATATTAAGTGATTCTTATAGTACACTTTCCAAATTTATTTATACAATACAGTGCTGCTAAAAAGGACATATATGTTAATACTACTATATATTATGGAAATTATTTTTTATACCTTCAAATTTATTATTCATATCCCTTGTAAAATTTAGCTTTAAAAAAGGTTTCATAGCAACTACAAGTTAAATTTGATAAAGTTTTTTTTTTGTTTGAATTCTATAAATTCATAGAATTCAAATAAAAAAAAGTTCATCAAAGTTGACCTGGTGGTTGCTGAGATATCTTCACTCAAAGCTTTAAAAAGTTCAAACTGTTTATCAAAACAAAAGCTGTACCTAAAATTTTTTCAAACTTTAAACAAAGATATCTTAGCAACCATGAAATTAAATATAATAAACTTTTTTTATTTAAATTCTATAAATTCATAGAATTCAAATAAAAAAAATTCATTGAATTAAAGTTTGTAGTTATTGAGATATTTTTGGTTAAGTTTGAAAAAAATTTTGGTACAACTTGTTTTAATAAACATTTTGACCTTTTTTAAATTTTTGAGCAAAGATATCTCAGAAACCACAAGGTCAAATTCGATGAACTTTTTTTATTTGAATTCTATGAATTTATAAAATTTAAATAAAAAAGAGTATCCTTATATAACCAAAAGAAATTGAATCTAAATACTTTTTCTAGTTATTAGCAAGTACTAAAAAATAATGCTAGTGTGTTAGTTTTTTTTTTTTATTTCTTTTCCTCATTCTTCTAACTAATGTGAAATAGTGATTTAATCTGATTGATGAGTATATTTTTCTAGTTTCTATTCTATTTGTGTTTTTTTTTTTTTATTTTCTCATTAATCTTCTTCTTTTAGTAGGTTACTCAGAAGTGTAAAATGGAGCAAAGAAGTGTTAAACTAGACCTAGAAGATATCTGTGATTGGTAATTAAAATCGGTATTCATTTATTATTAAGAATCGGTAATTGACAATTGGAATTGGTATTAATTTATTATTAAGAATCTGTGATTGGTAGCTGGAATTGGAGTTGAAAAAGATGTGAATAAGTAAATAAGGCATTTATTTATTTGTTATTAAGAAACAGAAATTGATAATTGAAATTGAAGTCGAAAGATGGGTTTTTTAGGATTATATTTTTTGGGATTATAAACTTTTGAAATTATATTTTTAGAATTATATTTTTAGGATTATGTTTTTTTAAATTATGATCTTTTGGGATTTTAATCTTTTGAGATTGTAATTTTTTAGATTATAATTTTTTGGAATTTTTTTTTTTTAGAATTTAATTTTTAGGATATTATATTTTTGAGATTTTGTTCTTTTAGAATTTAGTGTATTGAGATTTAGTATCTTTGGAATTTTGATCTTTGGAATATTGATCCAAACCCTCTTCTTTGTATCAAAACCAACAACTTGAATAATTAGTTGTTATTTTAAAACCAAACCTATCTTCTATTGCAGAACAGAATACCAAATCCTATACCAAACTTGAAGTATTTTCTAATAGTTTTAAATGTAATAATAAATCATTATTTAATTGAAATTATATCCAACAACTCTTTTAAAAATATAGAAGAAATACTGAAAAGAATAAATATCCAATTAGTTGTAAAGGTCCCAAAATCCAATACTAATATTAATATATTTATCTATGCTCTCAATCTATCTGCTACCAATATGAAAAAGACTGTTCTATATAGACAATCTTAAAAAGAACCTCCTTAAATATCATTATTAAATACTTCTTAGAATTGAAGATGAAGAAGTTGAAATCTTTTATATAATTGTAATAGAAGATGTTAAAGAAATCTCTACAAATGTATAAGCTATAATGGATCCTTCAATTCTCAAGACATGATGGAAACCCTTGTACCAATCTTATCTAAATATTATATCACCTTCTTACAATCTTATCTAAATATGAAATTTAGTCAAAAAGGAATTCAATATAGTAAAATACATTGTACCTGGTTTTATATTGAATATATCAATATCCAACTATCCCAAAAATCTAATAGAAGAGACTGGCCTAGAGATTAAAAAGGATTAGTAGCTTAATGTTAGTATGAAGATAAACTTTATTCACCATCTGATAAATGTTTCAAATATTATATTAACCTCCATTTATTGTATATTATTAAACAATATTCTCTTGAAGAAATTGCTAAATATTACTGGTCTATACTTGATAATAAAAATCATGATACCTGGAATGATCTTATTAAAAAAGCTAACCAAATTCAATCTGAAATGAATCTCATTGATGACATTCCAATTGAAAATCCTTTTAAAAAACTAGAAAATAATAGCCAGTATTTGCTAAATAATTATGATCTTAATAAAGAAATAGATACATTAGTAATGTAAAATTTGATGATACTAATGATCTTAATATAGAAATAGTATTAGTTAATGGACCTTGGTGATTCTTCCTTTTAGAAACCTCCTCCTCAGAATATTATTTAGAATTTAATAACTATTCAGAACACTATCTATATAATGTAGTTTGGTGATAAATAATTAATCCAACTTATTATTACTAGTTATTTATTTATATATTATATTTATATTTTATTATAAAAAAAGAAAAAATAGACAAAAACAAAA